TTTTTGTTGTTGTTGTTATAGAGAAAGAATAAAGAACATTCCCTGTAAAAATCTGATACAGACTTCTTTTTCCTGCATTACATATTACAATGTCTCTTTTCCTTCTACAACTAAAGCCCATAAAATGTTCCCTTTAAAAAGCCAATACCATGTCTGTTAGATAAAACAAAATTTTCTTATTAGCTGTCAGTGAATCTGCTTTTTATCTTTCTGTTTTTATGTTTGTTTCCTCTTAAATTTTGGAGTGTTATTTGTCTGGAGTTGGTAGGTGTTGGGTAAAATTAGTAAATTAATTATGTCTGAAAAGTAATGGATAGTTCAGATTTTGTATCCTTTTTTTTGAGAGGGTTTACCTTACAAATTCCAAATTTTTGAAAAGTTTGGACTCACCTTTTTAAAAATGACATCTCACGGTTTTAGATAGGGTGAGACAAAGTATGAGAATTATTTTGCATCTGGCTTATGAACATCAATTTTAAAGTTTATATTCAAGTGTGTTTTAGACCATTTTCTTTTAGACAAATCAATTCAAGTACCTTATGTCTCGCTTAGAGAGCTCTACTGTCTAGTTGAAGCTATGCTACCTTTGTAAGAATGCAGTTAGAGTCCTAGAATGCCAAAGAAACAATATCATAATTCTTGGTATGTGAATGCTTTTGATGATATTATGGGAAAACACCTCTGAATACTTCCAGTGACACTGAGTCCCTCAGCATATGATGCCTGTGTTCCATTGTTGGACAACATTATCACAATTGCATTCTTCATACTTTATCTTCATTCTTTTTCTATATTTTGATCCTAGTTCTCTTTTGCAGACTTTCGGAGAATATATCTAATCCTCCTTTCACATGACAAAATTTCCATTATGGAAAAATTTAGCATACACCCCTCAATTTATCATTTTCATTTACCACTATTTCTTATTTCCTTTACTGCTTATTTCAAAAACCCATCATCCTGGTTTTCTTTTCTGGACAATATAATTTGCTTTTGTCTTTCAAGGGCTGTGTCTAAAGATGACCAGAAAATACGTGATTTAACCCGTGCAAAGGAATAGTTCTTTTTTAAGTTCTGAACACTATTAACACTGTCTGAGCTTATGTAAACATTTTTCTAAGAGGTGGCTTCCACTCTTGGCCCACATTATGGACTTGTAATCAAGTCCTAACTTGTAACCATTCTAACTGTATGCTGTGGTTTTCTAGGGGCCATATGAGCATATGAGTCAAAAGATTCTCTGAACCTAAGTGTGAAAATTGATATTTTAATGTATTAAATACCATTGCCTGGTTTAGGGCATATCTTTTCGTCTTTCAATGTACAGAAAACCTCCTGAGTTCAGTTTAGTCATCTAGCATACTATTCTTCATTTTGCATTATCCTTAAATTTGACAGGAATATGTATATGGTAGGTGTTCATGCAAGTCATTACTAAAAAATAGGAGGATATTTAATTTATTCACATTCATAGATGCCTTCCTAACCAGGATCAATGCGAGGTGATTTAGCTATTTCTTATCCAGAAATTGTTTAGAGAAATGGAGTCCACGTCCATTTCTCTTCTCCTTCCACAGTCTTCTCTCTCCTTCCCCAGGCCGTGGTGGCAGTATCAGAACTCCCTTAGAGCTGGATCTTTTGTCCTTCAGCAACAATTGCCAGTGGCAGCTGTATGTTTTTAAATGATAGTCTATGAAGAGCGTTAATAGTCACATACTATGATTTAAACCTAAAACGTATAGAAAATCAGAAATATCCAAGAACTGTTTAATGAGTGAAGCCTTCATAGAAATAAATACATGTATTTTTCTATAATCCACAATTTATTATTTTTCTCTGTTGTGATTTATTAAAAATTGCTTTTCCTTTCCAAAAATTTTTGGGGGAAAGAATTGCACTTCAAAAAAATATCAGCAATACCAGACCACTATTATTCAATTATTGAACTATTAAAAGACATAGTAATAACTTTCTTTTAGACAACTAAAGAATTTAAACATAGAGTTAAAGTGAGAAAAGAAATAGTCCTGTTAGTTCTAAAATTAGTTAGGGGACATTGATAGACTAGGCTGACTAAATTTCATGGACTGCAAGCATTCTTTTTTTGAGTGTTACATAGTGAATTATCCAAAATCCTAGGATAAGCTACATTTTTATTATAGGAAACACCAACAGACAGGTTTTCCTTTTTTTTTTTTAACTTTAGACATTTTGTTACTGGTGAGCATATTTGTCTATACTTGATTCTGTGGTTAGACTTCTGTGTACATACACATAAATACACATATACAGACTTCAGTTTTTGAATAGGATTCAAAGTCTTTCTTGAATAAGAATGTTGTGTCACTTTGGCCATTGCTTTTTCTATTTCCTGGAATTAGATTTTGCTATATTTCTATCATACTATTCTTATCATATTTGTTCCTATAAAATCTCAGCCATATTTTCTATATCCATGTCAATACAAGGCTAAATCCTGAAAGAGGGGAATATAGGGGTACTTAAAATTTTTTTTTAACATTTTCAATGTGCATAGAGCCATGGGGAAGCACACAATGAGGGCCACAAGTAGTCTCTGCTACTCTTCTAGAAAGCCACACAGAACTTCTGGTAGAAGAACTGGTAGGGCAGCAAGAGCATGCACAAAAAAAAAAAAAAATAAGCAGGCATTTATAGTTAGTCAAATGTTCAAAAATAAAAAAATTCTGTATGCTTCAAAATCAGAGGCAGTATGGATAGATGCAGAGTGGAAGAGCATGAAAAGCAGGAGCAATGCACAGAAGATGGAAAGAATGGGGCATGGAAGGACGCCACAAATACTCTAGACTAAATCAGTGAGTGTCGTGTGAGGAGGTGCACCATTTTTCAAACTTGTGAGTGGTGACCCCCTAAGGAGTCATCACATTAATTTGATTGTAATCAAGATTAAAAAGAAATTCCTGGCATAAAACAGACTGGAATAATACAAACACCCCCTGTCTTTTACAAATCAGTAAGGTATGTGCTATTTCAGGATGACTTTGTTTCCATACATATAGTAAGTATATGGAAAATGCAGAATTACAAAATATATAAAATTCCATGACTGCACAACTGCTTCTGAGCCTGCCTCTCCACTCTACTCATGCAAACCTATGTTTCATTGTTACGCACACTTACTTCATTTTGGAAGTATCTTTCAAATAGAAATGTTTCTTCAATCTTCCTGCAAATCATCATTCAAAACCCTTTCTTACATTTACATTATCCAGAAACCCTCCATCATTAACCAAATACAATGTGATAATTTCTCCTTGTGTATTTACCTTTAATTCTCACTGTCTGATCTTAAAATAGATTCTATCATTTAATCTCACTTATATGTGGGCATTTACAGAATAAAGTAAAATAATTCTTGTACATAACATATGCATGCTGTTAGGGATATTGTATGCTCTGTGTGTGTGTAGATATGATATAAATCTTGTATAACTATATGTCTTCTTTAGTTAAATGTCACTTCAGATAAGGGTTGCGTTTATTTCCATTTTTGTATTTCTTTTTTTTAGTGGATAAGGATGAAATTTATTAATTAACAGTCTTTTCCAAGGATAGTGCAATTAATGTAGGAGAGTTTAGATACTTTTACATTCTGGTAATGATAATAATGGTGCTAATTTTACCCTGAAAAAACAGATTGTTTCTGGAATCTACTATTATAACTTGTTTCAGTCATCTTATCCCATATCTTTCTCAGCATTGAGTATTTTATGCTTTTCCTCAGTATGCCCACAAATAGTACAAACTTTGACAACTTTGTGATATATTAGAAGTATATGCTAGTATAATATTCAAAAACAATAAAGAGGACACGACTTCAAAAATTTAATGTGTGTATGTTAGAATAAACCTGTGCATTCACCTCTGCTTATTTTCCTATATCCTGGCATTTTCTTATTAATTTGTAGGCGGTAATACTACTCTTTCAGGAAGCCAAGAGATTTTACAAGGTTAAATTGGATGTATGTGATTCAAAGTTAGCATTAATTACTGATGTTCCCTTTAAGTTTAGAATTTTTTTATTGTTGGACATGTATAAATGGGAGATAAATAGAGGAAAATTAATTTTTGGAAAAAAAATGAATCAAAATATATTTTAGAAAGGAAAACATCAGAAGTAAGGTAATAGGCAGAAATGGAAATCAGTTCAGTGGGGAAAGAATTCTGATTAATTAGCAGAAATAATTTTGTTTGAATTACATTCACACCTGGAATTCATTCTTTTGTTTTATATCAATCAGCAGCTCTCATGAATTTTCCTGATGTCTGTTCAAACTATATATAAACCATATATAAACAATATATTTAACTATACATAAACTGTACATATAAACTATATATATAAACTCTATATAAATATTTTACTCAAAGGGCAAGCTCTTAGATTTATGTATCATTTTTGTGTCCTAATTCATTAACGTTCTCTATTTCCTTATTAAACTTAAATCTTCTGTATTCTTTGTTTTTTTCTTCAACTTCTATAGTTAAATGATTTACTTTTCTTTACATCTTCAGTTTCAGTGTAAGTGTTGAAAGTAGATGTTGCAAGTTGATGCTTTGTGTGTCCTGCATAGTGGAGTTTTGTTTGTCTTAATTAGTCAATTAGATTTAGGCTTTAGGATCAGTGCCCTGTGCTAAAATCCTGACTATTGCACCTAAAAGCTTTGTGACTTTGCATTAGTTACTCATCCTTTCTCAGTCTCAGTCTCCTCCTCTGCAAAACAGAAAAAAATAAGAATACCTATCTCTGACTGCTGTTGAGAGTGCTGAAAGAGATAAACATGCAACACATTTATCCTAATGCTAGCACACAGTCAGCAGTCAATAAACATTATGAAGCTGTGAATATATATTTGTATGTGACATACTTTCCGTATTTTATATTAAATATTATACCACTTATCATGTTATATAATACATACTACATGTTTCAGATAAAATCCTTCTTGTCTGTATTACAGAAGCAACCCAGTTCCCCATAATAATCAAGTGTTCTCCAGTATTCATGTGGTGGCAGAAGGAGCCGAAATGGCCAGGTCACAGTCTCAACTTCTAGTTCAATGGAGCCATTGTTTCATCTCCTGTGGGAAGCAGTAATCCCTTGGGACACAAGACCTTCATGTGAGTGAGCAGAACCTAACATTTCTGAGCAGAACCTAACATTTCAGGGATGGGGAACACAAACTTTTCAGGCAATTCATTAGTAATAACAGTAAGGAACCTTTCTATTTCCACTCTTTGTTCCAGAACTTGTGTACCTTTGGAAGAACAAGCCACAGATTTTGGTACCAGTTCAATGTGTACACTGTACCTTGTGGGAGAGCACCCCACCCTGACCAGTACAGTAATTGAGTCTAATAATCTGTTCAACTGTTATATTATGCCTGTTGCTTCAGAGTAAGAAGGTACATGATCCAACCAGAGAATGCCATGGGGTCAGCCCAGAACAATTAATTCTTCCTTCTGTAAAAGAAACTCCTTAGTCAAGTGCAGTGCCCTGAAGGACACCATCACAGTGAATATGACACTCAGTAAATCTTTGGGTGGTGATGCTGGCAAAGCCATCGAAACAGAGAAGACAAATCTATGCACAAAATAAGTATAAGTGCTTGAGTAATCCCAAATCTGAGCTCCCTCCATCATGGGTGCATTCCAGTGGAATCAAACTGTCTAAAGGTGGCTGCTCGGTCCCCTCTGCCTACAGTGCCCTGGCAGGGCTCGTGGCTGGTGTTTGTTACTGGAAGGTTAATCATTTAACATTAACAGTAGCTGAATCAGCCTTGATGGGGGTAAGTTTAATTCCTCGACCTCAGGTAACTTCAATCCTTGCTGCAGATGCCACACTGAGTAAACCCTGCAGTGGTTGAAGGCTGACTAGCAGTCACAGAACGTCAACTAATTTTGTCCATCTGGTTTTTAATACTCCTCCTGGCATTCATCTATAGCATTCATTTGGAACAACAATAGACTATAAATGTGTGTCCATTCCAAATGGTCCATCCACAAACCTCCTTGCCACCAATTCTCTAATCTTTTTATTTTGCAGAAATCATCAGATAAATCCTCAGCCCACTGTGGAGGGACCGCCATTCCTGCTTTATTACACAAATAGTGACTAAGCAGATCAGCTGCCTGAAGTTCTGCCCACTGGACGATTTCCTGCTCTCACTGCCCTTTAGGAGCTGTCGTGATGCAGCAGTCCGCTTCCGACTGGTGTCAGCATATTGCCTCAGGTTTTTTGGTTTATTTTTCTTTTTTCCACTCAGTCAACTGCTCATGGGGTCTTTGTTCAGTTAGTTCACTGTGGTCTTTGTTTAGGTTAAAGAAGAGGTGAAATGTAGTCTGAGTAGGTGCCATGGAAATATGGAGCGCTTACTCATGTAGCTCTGCTTGTGCTTTCAGGACTTGCTTGAGCCTAATCTTGTAAGAAGTACTTCCATTTAAAGTGCTGCTTTATAGCCTCTACTTAATAACTTGAAAGGTCAGACAACAATTCATGTCTTTTAAAATAATCAATTTCTGAAAGGAGCCAGTAGCAAGCCAGGGGCTATTTCTCAAAAAGAGACTAATTATTTGCAGAAGTAAGCATGGCTATGGGATCTGTGCAGTGGTTCTTTATCAAGACTTACCAAAAGTTCCATACAGCCTATCTATTTGCCTCGGATACTTGGAGGCACTGCATCTACTGGGTCATTAGGTAGAGTTGCAAAATAGTATCTGACTACTGCATAGTCCTTTCTAGTTCTAGATCCACCCAAAGCCTTATAGGTTACTTAGTAGGTGGGTTGGAGCAGCAAATTCACTTATTTTACACGTTGCTTCCAAAATACACAGAGAATACACCAGATACAGTTCAAATACAGTGCCTTTTTTTGGTGATAAGGGTCAGAAGATCCAGCAACATGTCTTCATGGTTGAAGGAAACATCTCAATATGTCTAGAGCACTGGGCCTCCAGACACTTCTTAAAAGTGGGGAATATTCATGGAGATACACCACATACCCTCTGGTAGCATGTATCCTACCAAGTTATCTAGGATATTTGCCATGTCCTGTTCACCAGGTCCAATCAACATGAACTTATCGATATGGGGGACAGTAGTAGATAATGTCAAAGAAGGTAGGTCTGTGAATTCTCTTGTGCACTAGATTAAGACAGAGATAGATCATATATCCTTAAATTACAACAGAGAAGGTATGGTGTTCTTTCTACCATGTGAAAATAAACTGTTTCTGGTGGTCTTTGCTAATTAGTACATAGAAATAGAAAAAAGGGGCTTTTATTAACTCTAGTAACTTCAAACCATGTCTCAAGAGCTCTGTGGATTTCTTTCTGTAATAAGATCACATCTGAAATAGAAGCTGCAGTTGGAATCACCACCTAATATTATCTACAAGAAACCATTGTATTTTCTGTCCTCCATAGAAACTAAATAGGTGAGTTAAATGAAGATTCAACAGGAATCACTCTTTCTACACTCTGCTAGTCTTGGGTGGATGCAGTGGCATTTGCAGTTACCTCAGGTTTGCAGTAATACTTCTGATTTATAATTTGGAAGGGATGGCCTGTCCCAGGGTTTCCCCGAACCCTTCCTACCACAATAGCCTTCAAGCCACTCTCAGTGATCCAAGGCAGGAAACCTGCAAGTGGCAGAGTGTGTCTATGCCAACTGCAAATTCAGGAATTAGCAGATGGTTGATTCTTTGACTGAATGGACCTACAGTGACACAGACTGGGATAAAATTGTCATTTATCACCTGACCACTGGAAACTTTCCCTCTAACTGAGGAAGCACTATGACATTTTGGATCCGCAGATATTAATTTCATCTCAGAGTCACTTTTCAGTGCTTATCTTCCCCCAGTACCTTGTTTCCATGGTAAAATGGCTACAGGTTCTATTTCCTGAAGATGAGAAGGAAATTTAGAGTTCATACTTGAGGCCCTTTTGCCTGGTCTCCAGGGATACCTACCTGCCCTTTCGTATGTCACTGAGTCTGTGAATGGGCTTAGGTCTGGGAACTGGTTCAGGGCCTGTGGTGGTGCCACATGTCCGGTTTCTATTTAGAAACCGAGAGATTATGCGTGAGACCAAATGAGACTTCTGTAGGCTGCCCATCTGTCTAACTGGCATCATCAGCTAGCTGCCTAAAAACATCTCTATTCGTTACTTCATTCTGATTATTGCTCCAAATTTCTGCCTATTACTGAATCTGAGATCATTTTGTAGTTAGAAATTAAGTGCCATTACTTGGCTTCTGCCATTCACAGATCCCATCCCTCCCCAATAAAATTAAGGAATATGTTTCAAGGTATAATATTTAGCATCACTTCTGCAAAGAACCAATGTAGCGCTCTTCAAGGATACTGGAACTCTCTTACCAATGTACGTCTTAGTGCTTTAGGGAGAATGTCCTTCCGGATTCCTCGAGGCATGGAGTAGGTTAGGGGAACGACTTATACATAATAAAGGTACTTCAACATTTCTTTCTCCTTATTCTTTTGATACATTATTACACACGAAGGTTGATTCTCAGATTAAATAAAACAAGTAACCAACCAAGTAAACTCTTGAAACCATTCCCAGTGGCTTAGGTTAGCACATTAGAGAAACTCTGATAAATATACCCTGCCAATAAATTCTGCCTGACAGTGTTAGGTTAGTCCCTCCCCAGTTTAACACCTATGGAATCGGTGCCCACAAGGATTCTCCAGATCTGTGTTGAAATAAATTGAAAACATGTTCTGATTATTTTGGTATTCACGCTATCTTTTCATTTTCCTTTCTACACTTTCACTTTTTCACAAAAAACATACAGATTCTAACTCTAGTTATAGATTTATAACTATTAAGTGTGGAGAGCACATTTTGAGGAATAAGTAAAATGCCTCAATTTAAGGCAATAAAGGGTTTCCAAGAAAGGAAATCAAATGCCCTGAGGCCAAGAAAAGCAGGCTGTTTCTTCTGAAACAGACTTAGTGTAATTTGAAAGGTACAAGCCATCAGGTTTTTCTGAATCCACTCGTATTACTCAAGTCTGGCACTCTGGGATCCACACTTTCCCGATCATGTCCTAAGTTTCACTGTAAAAAACAAAAAACCAAAAAAACCAGATCAGACTATGAATTCAAGTAGCACTCTAATTCAACTTGCACTCTATAAGCAGAGGATAAAATTTAGATTTGCTTTAGTAAACAATAGATTCGGGGCCATGAGCAACAAGATAGTCTTGAGCGTCAAGGAAGCTGATTGGCTCAGAACTACTTCGGAGGCAAATACTGCATTAGCCAGAGGGCAGTCAGGAGAGCAGAAACGCCTCCAAGTATTTACAGCGAGAAGAGATGTAATGTAGAGAGTAAGAGATTTACAAAACTACAGAAGAGCTTTCGGGTAGGAAGAGCAGGGGCGACACCGCTAAGGTAGGAACTCGGGTGTTGCAAGAATCTTCAGGAACCCCGATAATGTTGCCCGCTGCCTGCGGTACCGGGGTGGCCACCTCGCAGAAGGCCCGCAGGAGCCGTCAGGCAGGCAGTGTTCTTTCCCACATATTGCCTAGTACTTCAAATAATATGCTTCACAGGAATGACTTCAACCATGAAATGTCTCTGTTTGACTCCCTGTAATGGGGTAATCAAGACTATTGTGTGTCTTCTGAAACAACCATATAATTTATTTTGATTGACTAAGTAAACAGGAGAACTAAAAATGAAAAGAATTCAAGGACATAAAACCAAATACAATATAAACATTTTCTGTTGTGGGCCATTTTTATTTTTAGCCTCTTAACTCTTAACATTGTTACATAGAGTATTATAAATGTTTAGCCTGATAATCAATGTCTTACTTATTTTAAGAATATAATCTAAAAAACAAAATGGGAAGGATTATGGAAAAATCACCTCAATATTTAATAAATGCCAATTTTACATTATTATAATAACTGAGTGATTTTAAAATTGAAATACTTTTGGTCTGATAGTTCAAATAGGGAGGTGATTTTTCCCCACTTTCTGGTCACTGAGGGGAAGAGTACACTTTCAAGTATTGTGACCTGTTAACCCATACTGTATTCCTCTCAATGAAAGTGGAATGAACTGCTTTATCGAAGCCATTGATCCATATATTTCATGTGATCGGAGCTCACCATTTTAAAATCTGAAAGGAGGAGGCATTTCATTCATTACATTCAGAAAAGTGTGAGGCCATCATAACATAAGTTAGCCACTGGGATGGTAGTACAGCATGCAGAGTACAGCCAATGATTCTGTAGTATCTTCCAATGTTGATAGGTAATAACTGCACTAGTTTGGATGAGGATTTAATAACACGGGTAACTGCTGAACCATTGTGTTTTATTCTTGAGCCCAATGTAAGGTTGTACATCAACTATACTTCAATAAAAAAAAAGAAATAAACAAACAAAGAAAGAAAACTGTGAGGCAGCAATCCTGAATAAGAGTGTTCTGTAGTCCCAACAGTCTTGGGTGAGCGATTGAGAATCTGGTCTGGAGAGGGAGGCAGGGGGAGTTGAGTTACCAGTCCACTTATGTCTCATATTTAAGCTCTATCTTCCATATGGTTTCATCAATAATAGATTTGCCTTCCTTCAACATCTAGCTCACAAGTGGCTCTGAACTCAGATTTGGAAGAGGAATGTGCAAAAAACCCTACATTTTGTTTAATAACGAAGTGCCCAACTTTTAAAAAACCAAGGGATATAACATACAATATGATAACTTCAGTTATTACTGTATTACATATTTGAAATTTGCTAAAAGAGTAGATCTTAAAAGTTGTATCACAAGAAAAATATAACTGTGTTTGGTGATCAGTGCTAACTAGAATTATTGTAACTTTTTAAATAAACACAAATATTGAACCACTATGTTATATGTCTGAAACTAGTATGATGTTATATGTTAATTGTATTTCAATTAAAAAAAATAAGCCAAGGACTTGGACATATTTCCAAAAATACATTCAAGTGGCCAATAAGCACATCAAAAGATGCTCAACATCATTAGTAGGAAAATGCAAATAAACACCACAAGATACCACTTTGTATCTTGGTATATACACTAGATACAAATGGGTATAATAAAAAAAATGTTCATAACAGCACTATTCACAAAAGCCCCAAAGAGGAAAAAACCTAAATCCAGTACTGGCGAATGGAAAAACAAATGCAGAATCCATACAACAGAATGTTATTCAGCCATAAAATGAATGAAAT